GAAAGAAAGAAAGAAAGAAAGAAAGAAAGAAAGAAAGAAAGAAAGAAAGAAAGAGGGAGGGCCTCTACCACCATACTTACTGTAGTAAATAGCTTACTATTATATCTATTTACTGGAAATGGTGTGGATTGAAATCTGAGCCTTACTGTATGAGAAATCAACATCCTATCACTGATCTTCCCAACCATTTACTGCAACCTTCTCCAACATGGAGCCCTTTTGATGTATGAATCTTTATGCCACCCATTCCCAAAGATGCTGGGCAGCTAGCAATCAAAATCATCATAGAATAGGAAAGAATCCCTTAAAAAACAATATACCAACCCATAATAAACAACACAATATCAAAATACACAGAAATGTTCTAGAATTCTCAGCAGTGGGCATACTGGCAGGGAATAAGGGAAGTTGAAGTTCACATGTGTGGGAGAGTGACCCAAAGGTTGAACACCTGCACTGCAACACCCAATAATTCTGTTGTAATTTAAGTCTGACCCTACAACTGGGAAGGTCACTTGGCCACTCTGGGGAGTGCCCTGTTGCTTCCAGGAGGCAGAAATGCATCCTGTATAGATGGAGGCAGTGATTCAGTAAATGGGACGATACTGAGGAGATGGCATGCTTCCATGTCATATTTAGATGACATGTAATAAGAATACATATACATAGGCCTTAGACCAACCTTCTGGAGTTTGATGTCCTCCAAAATTGTTGAACTACCACCTACATTACTCCCGCCCAGCATGGGGTTGGGGAATTGCATTACAGGGCATCACCAATCTTGGTACTTGCTTCCTCCCAGGTGATCCCCTCTACCAATTGAGACCAAGAAGGCATGCTTTGCTCACCTCCATCCGAGGCTATATTGTGAGGATTTTTTTTAATTAACTAGAAATGAGAAACAGTAATGGGATTTTTTTTAAAAAAATCAAATAATAATGTTTCTATTGAGTGACTGAGCAGTAGCTCTCTGCTACGTATGGAGTGATGCTGTTCTTTGACGAAAAGTGGGATACAAATTGGACAGATAAATAGAAACATAGCTGGATCACAGAATACTAAGACGTGATGAGTACAACCCCTTGTTCAGTGTACAAATCTAAACTAAAGCGTCTGTCAAAAATAGCTTTCCAGCCTCTGCTTGTACATGCTGAGCAAAGGAGAACTTTAATCTAAACTAAAGCGTCTGTCAAAAATAGCTTTCCAGCCTCTGCTTGTACATGCTGAGCAAAGGAGAACTTTAATCTAAACTAAAGCGTCTGTCAAAAATAGCTTTCCAGCCTCTGCTTGTACATGCTGAGCAAAGGAGAACTTTCCACCTCCCTAGATAACTGGCTACCCTATTAAATTGCTCTTATTGCTAGGAAGTTAATTGGTAACTATAACAGTCCAAAACCTTGATGTCTCACTCCTGGATGATTATGCCTTTTTTGACACAAAAGGCTGACCAACAGATATTTCTGCTTTTAAACTCACACTGATATCTTTAATCTATGGGTCAATTCGATTAACAGATTAAAAGAATACAGTAATCAACTCCAAAGAAGTCCACAGTTAACTAAGTAATAGATAAAAATGATCAGAAATACAGGTAGCAAATTCTTCATAAAAGAGATGTTCCCTCTTTTTTTCTCATGTAAAACGGAATCCCCCTTCTAAGATGCTAATATGAAATAATCAATCTGTCAATCAATCAATCAATCAAAAACTGGAAGAATAGGCTCCATGCTCCAGAAATATTATTATTCATATATAAATGATACATTAATCAACTAATAACATATACCTACAGCTGCAATCATTTACCACTCACTTGAGAGTAAGCCCTGTTGAACTAAATAGAAGGCTTGGCTGAATAGACAAGCACAGGATTGTACTCTAAGGTAATCAATCAACTGCAAATACTTTTTAGATTGGTTTTACTCCTACATTTCATGAAGCGGTTTTGTCAGCTGTGGTACCTAAAGCACTGAAGGCGAAGAGACTGAGCAAATCTTCCTGCTCTGTAGTCTTCTCCATCCATCACTGAAGCAACGGTGTCAGTATCTTCCACAATGACAGCCATTTCACTGTCTCTTTTCCCCAACATGCTTCTGTCATTGATGTTTGCAGAGCCTATTAAAGACATAGCATCGGGAGAGTCACAAATGCAAGGGATTAATAAATAACTATTTTAAACTGGCTCAGAGGACCACAAGAATATGCAAACGTTCCACGTTTCAAACTCTACCATAATATATTCCGTCATTGATTATGATGCACAGTAATAAAAAAGCTCTGAAATAAATAAAGATAAGAAAATATTAGATCTTACTACCTTAGATAACTAATCGTTGGTCTGCAATATTCTTTTTAGAGCAGTTTTCTAGAACAAGTGATGGCTTTCAACTTCAGGATTTGATGAACCAATTATGTGGGTTTTGTATCAATTTTGGTTCAGTATGGAGTCTGGGGCAGAAATGGCCATGATAGAATTATGATTAAAATTGAATGGGGAATATGTTATGGTGGGTGTTGCTGAATCTCTGAGCGGTTAGATGCCATAGGCCAGGGATTAGCAATTTGTAGTCTTCAGTTGTTGCTGAACTTCAGTTCCTTTTGCTCCTAACCAACATTTTCAGTTAATGGGAGTTGCAGTCCAACATCTGTATGTCACACAAGTTGTCCTAGGTCATAGAATCCTTCTGGGCACCTTGGAGCATGAAAGCTTAGACCTAAGACTGCCCTATAATCAGATGAACCAATTTTGAGTAAACAACTGTATTAAGTCTCCAAGAAAATTTATTGCTCCATTGCTCAACAGGATCTCAACTCAGGTTGCTTAAGGGGGGAGCCAAACCCCAAATAATCACTTTTTTCTTTGTTGAGAAAAACCAGTATACTGGATTCTTGCAGTTCAAAATGTATGCAAATCCCAATGATAACACTTTTCTTTCCTTTACAGGAATTTTCTAGTCCTTGTATACCGAAAAAGACAAGGAGTGTCTGCAAAGGGATCTTTATCATGGAAAGGCAGCAAATTAACTGCAATGAATCAGGGCAGGAGAGGTGAACAGCTTCTGGCATTTTCTGCTTCAAATGCCAAAATAATCTGACTGGGCTTGCTTATTATGCATTAGGGAAGACCTGCTCTATGCTATTCTGTCTTTTACTGGCCTTAGATGCATCTCTTATGTCTTATGGGCCACATTTCCTTAATTCAGAGTACTACAAATACTGGCAATATCTTTTACATCTTTTTTGCTTAGTTAGCTTTCATCCCAGCTATCCATTAGGGCCTGTTTAAAGTCTTCCTTTACTAGCAGATGGGAAAGAGAAAACTGGAACATCTTGCCTGTCTGTGCATACTTGGCATATCAATCAAGAGAAATGTCTTGTGAACATTATCCATTGCTCTTTCATGAATGAAAAAAGGACTGGTAGTAGTTAACAGGTTGAGACGGGTTAAGAGAGCCTTTATGTCAAAGGTACTGCTTAGTATAAACAATCAAAGCCACATAAAATAGTCAGCATTCAAGTCAATTTGTTTATTGATTAGTCATTTGACCATACCAAAAAGCTATAAAAACCAATACAAAGAAAAGTAAGACATATTCATAATATATTGTTCCCCTGCTTAGGTCCTTTCTTAAAATCCAAGAAATACGGGGACACCAAGAATAAATTGTTATATGTTTTGCAGGGAACACACTTGTACACAGCTAGGGGGACTGTGTCTTTTATATCAAAGGTCAAGGGGATGGACCACACAGAACAGATTGAGGTTAACTGTAGGGGCAATGATATATTATGAATATGTCCTACTTTGTTTTCTATTGCTTTTATAATTTCTTGATATGGACAAACGACAAATCAATAAACTAATTGAACTGAATTGAACGGTCAATAATATCATGGAGAGAAGTGTATGTGTGTGTGTATAGAAACACCAAGAGCTTTATACATGCCAGCCTACAAGAGAAGGCTAAATAATTCTCAGTTCAGATCAGAAAAAAATAGATTTACAGTATGTCGCCAGTAATTCCATGCATCACAGTATCAACAACTCTGCCTTGAAGATTATCTCAGTTGAAAACTGTTGAAACACATGAAGTGCAGGGCCAGCTGTACGTCTGCAGGAGTTGGCTCTATGCTGGAGGCATTTATCCTACTCCAGAGATATAGTAAAATAAAAACATATTTCACCTGTTAGGTATGTAAGCAAGTTGGCATTTTATGTTAAACGGTAGGCTTTCTTTTTGTTTTTACATGCCATCCTCTGCTTTTAAGTCAGAAGAACTTCTTTTGGGAATACTGGTTGCTCGGGATTAATGTATTGTATAACTGTGGCTATTGGATTTTTCTCTTCGCAGAGCGCCACGACCATTGTTGCTTGGTATTAATTTGTTTTTGTTTCTTCATGTCTCTCTGATGATCTAATGTGCTTCTAATGTACCTACCTTAGGCTGGCTGCTTCCTAAATTTAGTTATGTAAGCAATTGCTTACTGTAGAAAAACTCAAGGTGGTTTACAATTAAAAAAAAATCCCAGTAAAGGAATAATTCA